GTACAGCATTTGAAGACCGTTCACAACATTTCCTATCCAGAGGCTCGGAAGCTATTGTTCCCTACTCCATCTCGGACATATGCCACTGCACTATGCTCCACTGCTACAGTGGGGGTGCAGATGGACCTTTCTGTGCCTCCATCTGAGTGTTTTTGATGCCATGTGAGAGTTCTTCTGTCCTCTATGGATAACAGAGTTGACCGGTCTACGTCTACTCTGATCTCTGTCCCCACTATTCTTTCCAGTGACTGCTTGGGTCAACCTCCATGGGCACTGGCCTCTGGTATCTGCTAGGGTCCTTCTTTGGCCCCTAAATGGACGATGATCATTTGATCACGTCCTCAGTCATTGGATTCTCATTCTGATGACAGAGATCTGCCCACTCGATCAAGGGCAGGATCGATGGAGGTTGATCGACCTCCATCTAGTAAAGAAATATGGCATGGTCGTAAACCGAAGGGTTCTCCACCCTGTTTTCCTTCATCTACATAAAAATGGTCACTTTGATACAGTGGAACTGTCAAGGTTTTCGTTCTAATCTCGATGACATTAAGGCATTGATTGACTCCTATCATCCCGTGTGTCTCTTCTTACAGGAAACATTTCTGAAGCATAAAGCGTTTCAATTTTACCATCATCTTAGGATTCTGTTTTTTTAGCATTTTTATGTAAAGATAATATTAAGATATAACAAGTTAATTAATAAACTTGAAATACAGTCATCAACTGAAATGTAATACTTGTCCTTTTGTAAAATATATACCATAGGTAATTGCGCTGAACAAAATCATGGATTATTTAGATTAAAACCAAAACTGTCATTTAAGAACTGAACCAAACAATGTAAAATTAATTTCGATTATTAAAATAAATTAGACCTAGACGTTTAGAGCATGAAAATACTTTCATCAATAAAAAGTTAAATATTAGTCTTTCTGGGGCAGGAATTATCGAGATTCGCTAAAAGTTATATTAACGGTGATAGCTGGGTTTAGTATATTTAATATATTCCTTATGAGCTATAATGTAATATAATAACGAGTTAATATCTTGGAAAAAAAAAAAGAAACTTCCCATGCCGGGAATCGAACCCGGGCCTTCTGGGTGAAAGCCAGATATCCTAGCCACTAGACCACATGGGATTTGCAGTAGTGTGTAAAAATAATATAGTGATGTCTTGTAAAACATTGAAGCACCCTAAACAGTCATTAGTAGTAGTTTCCTGACAGTTATTGTAATTTAAAAATAATTATCTCCTAAGAAATAATTACTAATCAAGGGTGCTCGAAGATTAAACAATCCTCCTACACCCTGCTCGTGGCATAAGGTTACATTTCAATTAGTGGTCAGCGGAGTAATGAGTCGTATGGGCGAAGGTTAATTAATTGATTAAAAAAAAATGGTCGTAAGAAGGAGAGGCAAGTAGGCAGTAGTGAAGGCAAGTCCAAGGCGTAGCAGAGGCCGGTTGATCTTCGAAGAGAGCAAGTCGGCAGCCGATTTTGACAAGTTATCGAAACAGAATGAAGCAAACGGGCCTGGCGGGGATCAGTAGATCAAGGTGCCAAGGCTGGGATCTATGGATCCGATGCCTGAGAATTAGATGTGGAGGGAAACGGGAGTACCCCAAGAAAACCCACTTTCACTATTCGGGGCCGAATGAGAGCCCAGCTAGTGCCCGAGTGAAGAGCTGACCAGGAAGTATACATCTGAAAAGAGACTGAAGAAAAAACATGTTATGCATAGAATACGTATAATAATGAAGTTATTCAGGATTATGGTACAGAGGTGATGCTCTGTAACAGATTGTAAAGGGATAGATATTTGCACCATGGTTGGGGATGGCGGCAATTTTCTGAAATTCAGCTGTGAGTGGATTTCGGTAGATGGCTTTTTTGTAATATTTGGTAGCAAGTTTAGTGATGCGTGTTTGTACAGTGTGTAGTGAGGTGTGCCTTTCGGTGTAGCATGCAGGTGTGTATCGAGGAATTCAGTCACTAAGAAACCATCAAATCTACATATATTTATGATATCTGCAGCGCACCTAAGCAACACATTTTAGAACTACAAATACCAACGTTATTGATAGACAAACTGAAATAGCAAACGCTTTTTATATTAAGAATATTATGAGAGAGCACACGATTTAGCACACACCAAACAAACTGTTCTAAAATAAAGTATTCACACTTAGTTATAGATAATCATTATGTTTATAACTTTCCAATATGTACATATAAAACTTCATTTTCTTCAGCATTATTTTCAAACTTTTATGAAATATCGTTAATAATTCGTTGGCAAACAACGATTTAAAAACATAATGAAATTATTTATTTCTAGGGGAACATAGTATATATTTCGACAGAATATTGATTTGTTTTCTTCAGATATAAACCCTACATTGCTTAGCTACCGATCATACCTGAAGAACACAGACCAATGTTATTTTGAAACATGTAGTATGTTCCCCCCAAAAATATTCATATAAATCGTTGTTTGCCATCTTATTATTACATTAACCTCCTATATTTGTATGGATCAAGTTAAAGGAATAATTAATTGGATTAAATCCTCAGCTAAACGTAGGGAACTATTTATGGGTTGAGAATACTGAAGGTTGGAAAAGGTTCTGTTTATGTCATCCATTCTTACTTCACATGTGTGAGGTTGTTGTTTATGAAGATGATAATTTTGAAAAGTTTAATGACAATTGAGCTGCCGAAAAATGCTATGGTTTATCTAAAAATACTAGAATCCTTTGAATTCATTTTAGTTTAGCAGTTTTACAACGTTCCGATTACTATTTGAAAGAAGCTTCTGTAAATTTGCAAGGTCCAAGTCAAGTCATTGTTTCTGGTGTTTCCCTAATAGAACAATGCTGTAAAAAAATGACCTCAGTAAGAGTGAACGTAGATGATTATTCAAGTACAGCAGCAATATTGCAAACAGATCTAATGTTAATGTTAGCATGCCACAAACTAGTCAACGACAAGTCGCAAATGCAGAAAATAGTTCTATGGAGGATTACTTTAAGAAAACAGTAACCATTCCTTTACTTGACTAAATTATCAGTAATCTTTCCTCTAGATTTGATGCACATGTAAAGCAAGCATCATCATTTCAGAAACTTGTGTTATCAAAACTTACACAAGAGTTTGCTATTGTTGCGTCATCGAGGTAACGTGACTGGTGTGGCGCCACCTATTTTCTAGAACTAAGATCGGA